AGAGAAGGCCTAGTTCATTTGTACATAGTTTTCCTTGTATAGGTTCTTTTTTGCCTTTGTATTTGTGAGACACTTTGTTTCCTTTTCTGTAGACTATTCTATTGTGTATTTAGGGTAGGTTCTTTGAAGACTTTTGCTCTATTTGACCTTGTATTAAAGGTCACTCATTTTACATTTTTTAGTAGTAGAAGTGGGGTGACAATTAGTAGAGGGTCTAACTAGTAAATGGGCCAGAGTTGGGCCTAGGCCAATTTTTACATATTGGACTTGATTTGCTCCATATTTTTCAAGGAATTGATTTAGCTAGGTCTCACCATCATTGGATGAACCTAACTAAACCAATTCCAATTTATTTGGATTGGACAAATGGAGGAAACAAGCTTAAGGCCGCCTAGCTCTTCTCTTGGCTGAATTTACTTCTTTCTCTTTGGTGCCTTTGGGAAGCTTGTGCTACAAGCTTTTAACTTAGCTTGCTTCCCAAGCTACTAAGTTAGAAGCTTGCTCCACAAGCCTCCCAAACCATGATGGATGGTCAAGCTAAGCCAACCATGGTTAAGCTTAGCTCACTCCACAATCTATCTCCTTCTATATATTCTTTTCCTTAGCATTTGTAATCACTTTTGAGATTTATGAGATTAGAATTTACACAAAATTCTCTCTATTCAAGAGTCACAAAACCGTGGAGAAGAGTTCTCTCCTTAAGAACCTTCACAAAGGAATTCTTCCTTTGTGCCTTGGTTCCTTCAACACTTCTTCTCCTTCAAGAACTGTCCGCACCATTGTTGTTTCCTAAGCAAGCTTTGGAGCTTGTTCTTCATCCTTAAGAGTCTATTAAATACCTCAAGAGAAGATTGGACAAAGGAGATGAGACTGGAAGAAGAATCTTCATCACTTCTCCAAGCCATTTCCATTAGTCTGGCCAAAATCCAACCCAAGCACACTATAGAGAAAATGCACCTCGTTCACACATTGCAAGACCTTTTGAAGGTAGTCAGACTGAAACAAAAAGGATAGAAAAATAAAAAAGAAGAACACCTATCACTCCTCCTCACCTTCTCCATCACAACAACATCTGGCTATGCAAATCTTGGCGTGAGGCCTCTTAAAATTGGGAGGACACCATTACCTTAGTGACAATAGATATGATGTTGTAGGGTAAGACAAGGCCAAAAAAAGGAAGATTAGGGGGGGACCTTGAAGCAGCTCTTCAAAGTTTCAAACATGAAGCTCGTTTAGAAGATAGAAGTAGGAGAAAAAGGTGTAAAATACAAGAAAAGAAAACATGAATAGTATAATTTGAAAATAAAAAACCAAAATAAAGTAGAAATGTTCTAGTTTCTATTTTAAAAACTAAAAAATGATATAACTTTGAAAATAATTTTCAAAAGTTATTCTTGTCAAATAAGTATTTTTATTTTTATATACTCATAAAAAGTTAGAAGTTTTACTAAATTCAATTTTCCTTTTTACCCAATTCGAGTTATCCGTAAAAGCTTGTGGTTCTAATGAAGCTATATCTCACCTAAATATATAGATGGCTTAATTGGCATGGGAATCTTGCGCACTGGGGGACATGTGAGAAGAAACAAAGCAAAACTAATTAATAGAATCGTTTGAAATGTTCAACTCATTTGGAATCAAAGATTGATAGCCATAACCACTACCACACGTCAAACAAGTGGCTATTTAGGAACAACCAACTACATGCCCTTTTCCACCGACACAATTAAGATTCAGTAAAACTAAAACTACCCACACCTAATTCACCTTTCATTTCGTTGATTTTTAACCCAAATGCGTTTTACTTAATATTTGGCACTACAATTCTTATTAAGCATGATAGGAACATGATAATATTATTCATTGTTTGAACATTAAAATATTAGGCAATGTAGCTTTCTTTTAATGTAGCAGCCAACAAAGTTAGGCTATGTGACACAACATGGTCTTTGTTTCGGTTATGGGGCACGCGTCTAATCATTCATTCTCATGCATTATTTTTTTCTCCAGCTGTTCTTCATTTCTCTTTCTTGCGTATGGAATGAGTTTTGGTGATTTGAATTGCCCTTCTGAAGTCAGCAAGTTGGACACTAGCTTCAATTCTAATTTTGTCCACATGCTCCTCTATGATTTAATTCTCAGTCCTAAAAACAACCATGTTTTGATTAAAACCAAGTATCTCTACCTACAAAAGTTCGTAACTAATCTATATTTAGATGCTATAAAAGTAGTTGCTAGGTCTCTATTATGATGAAAGAAGCTGAACTTTTAACTCAATAATCATTTCATCCAACTTCTTATTTAGATAATTAATAATATTTGATATTTCTATGCTGTCAAAAAATATTTGATATTTTAAATTATAATTAATACTATGATAGTATGTGATTGTAATTGCTTATCAAATAAATAATTGTGCGTAAGAAATAGCTGCATTGACGTATTAGAAAACTTATAAAAGTGTAAAAGAAAAAACATTGAAAAGAGAATTTGCAACTTTATTTATAATAAGAATTACATCGATCAGTACAGTATATGCTGAGTTTGTACTCTAATTTGTAGCTTAGTTCACAAAAAGTTGGGATGAAAGGTTTGTAATTTGGTCTATCAGAAGCATATTTTATTTTGCGGGGGTTGTTTTGTTATATATTTTTTCTCCTTAATTTAAAAGACGGAAAGAAGTCATGTAATCTTCTCAAGTATCACCAAATATATATTTTTGTAATAATTCTAATTATGTTTTGATTATTAAATAAAAGAAATTTAAATTGTTTCGAGTCCTATAATAATAAAACCTATATAATTTCAACTCACTTATAAATTAAAATATGTTAAAAAAAATTATTCTACAAAAATTTCTAAAAAACTGTTATGCAAATATTTCACTTATGATTGCGTGAAGACCGGGTCTCCTATAGCTTTTGGTCTTCCTTTTTTTTTTTGCAAAAGTACTTTAAGTGATTTTTTTTTTCAAGAACTAAAGAAGAAAAAGCTATAATAAATTAATAATGGATTTTAAAGTTTCGAAAAATTATATATATATATATATATATATATATATGAGAAATTTGTTTATTTTAAAAATAAGTCTATCTAAATAGACTTATTCAACTTAATGACTTATATTTTATATCAAATTTTAAAATTATAATTTAAAATTTTTAATACATAAATCAAGTATTACAAATTTTTAAAAAATTTAAAAATTATTTAATATTTTGATTTATAATGGTATTTTATACTAAAATAATGAAATAACGTATCAAATAATTTTTAAATTTTTAAAAAATATACATTGATCTATTATATATATATATATATGTAATTCTTGCTAAAAAGTTATAATATTTTTGCTGTTTCTTTCCATTAATGTTACATATTTTATACTTATAATTTTCTTTTTTATATATTGGCCTCAGTAGAGTGACTAATGAATATTACAGCTTACAAAGAGTGCATTAGGTAGATAAGGAAGTATGTATTTGTATGTTGTTGCTCCCATGATCCCATGGAAAAATAAAAAATCACATCCATTGTCTTTCGTTGAGGATAAGCATCCTTTTCATTTAGGAGACACACAACAACCAAAAGCAATGAAAACAAGTAGCAGTTACAGTCATTTGATGTTTACTCCTCCGAAAACAAGACCATAATTACTTTGTGGAGCTAACTTTGCTAGTTAAGATTTTAAGCCATAATGGCTCGATCGGCTACATGTAAGTCATATTAATCATTCAAAGTTAATTCAACTTAACGATTAAGGATGCTACGTTCATTACATGCATTTTATGGAACATAAAATTGTGTTGGTTTGTTCATGGATAAATATGTATTTAGTCATTTAAATTTGGGATAAATTTTTTTTATTTATTACTTTTTAGATTAATAGGTGAGTTGAAGTTAGCTTTGACCTGTCAAATTAAGTAATTTCAATTAATTTGAAGATGCTTGAAATAACATTTGAAATTTCTATCCATTGAACAAACCGAAACCCCTCCTTTGTTTATAATCAATTGAGACCAGAGTTTGGTTGTATTTTTATAAGATCATGGATTTTGTAATGTATCTTTCCTTTTTGTCGTAGGCATATCATGTGCAATCATTATTATTCTTTGCGAACAAACAATATTAGTGTTTTTTTAGTCCTAATCTTAATTTCTAATACCTCAAATGGAGGAACTTGTTGTCCCACTCTGCCTCATCAGCCATCACCAACTCCGATTTGATTTTTTCCCCCTCCAATCAAATGCAAGTAAACCAACCATCTTTGATATCTACAACATTACAACCATCAGGGTAACAATTAAGAACTCAATAATTTGAAATTATATCAAAAAATTTATACACTTTAAATTTTAAAATGAAAGCTTAATTGTATTTTTATGTCAATCATTTCATGATTTTATAAATTTTATCAAATTTTTTTGAAATTGAACATTTTATCACCTAATTTTAAATATTTTGTACATTTTGACACTTTAAAAATTGATAGTGTAACATCTTTAGTTGATTGCTGATATAACACATTTATCGTTGATATAACTTTTTTTTATATGATTTATTGATCGTTAAATGTGAAGTGTTGTTATGAAATATGAATGATGATGTTATATATGCATTTGACAACATGCTATAATAAAAATTAATATATCTTATCAACAATCAATTAATAATATCGAATAATTAACAAATTGATAAAATATGTAAAGAATTTAAAAGTTGGATGAGAAAATATATAATTTTAAAAATCAGGTAACAAAATCCACAAATTATTAAAGTTTAGGGTTAAAAAAATGTAATTAAATTCAAAAATAAATTAAACTTCTTAATAATTATGCCAAGAACAACGTTGAATAGAAAAACCTAGAAAAAAAACACTAACTAACTAAAGCAAAGTTCATTTAAGTGACCAAAAATTCTTACAAGTCTTAAGACCAAGTTTGACTTCTCCTTGCTCATAATAAACCCATCATAGTAGCTAGCTATAACTTAACTCTCAATCCTTAGCATAGTTTCCATAGTTGAAATATGACAAAACACATGTAGCCATCTAATAAGACCACCCACACATTTCTCCAAACTCACTCCTTTCCTCACCTTAATTCACTCACTCACACACTCCCACTCGGTTCCTCCCCCATTATTTTTCTTTTCCATCCAAACATGTCCACCACTCACCCAAACCTAGCATCATCCACTCTCTTCTTTCTCTCAATAATTCTCCTTTCTTTCCCAACAACAACAAAAACCGATAACCCATGTGCATATCCATGTTACCCACCACCCATCGGCACCGGCACCACCACTCCCACAACTCCTGCCACGGTGACTCCGGCACCCCCTCAACCGGGGTTAACATATCCACCACCTTCCGGGTCATACCCTTATTACCCAACACCACCTTACGGCGGCGGTGGCGGCGGAGGTGGCGGCGGTAGTGATGGTGGTTTTGCTACCCCTCCACCACCGGACCCTATTCTACCCTACTTTCCATTCTACTACAGAAAGCCTCCTCACATGACACAAGACAATTCAGCATCAACCACTTTGAAGAAATGGACATGGATGGTTGCCACTACTAGTATATTTTCGTCTTTGCTTCTTCTCTCTCTATAATTCTCTTCAATCATCACCAAAATCTTCATGTACTCTAAACTTTTCTTTCCTATGAGAATTAGTGCTTGTTAATTTAATCGTAATTTATGATTTATTCACTTTTGTTTTGTGTTTTTAGCAAGTGCCGTATCTAAGTTATTACTTCAAATTGTTTAACATTGGTGTTTTTGATTAAATTTTTATCTAGAACATAAGAGTAACAATTAAAAGTACTACTTTATTATTATTATTATGGAACCACATGATAAGAGAGTTATATTCCCTAATTGTACACAATTTAAAAAATTGTACCTACCGTTGTGGTGTGGCTGTGGATTTTTATGAACATGTAGTTCTGCAGGGGAAGGGGAAAAGCAGAGGAGATATGATTGGATGAAATTTGGACTTAGAGCTTGTAAACACAGAAGAATAAAAAGATAAGAACTCTTGAAAATTTTGCTTGGTGATGTAAAGTAATTAATTGATTAATTGAATTGATGTTAATTTTGTGCATTTTTGTCTGAATGCCATATTTATTAGGATTGTGTCACAGCTATACACCTCACCTTCTTTGGATGGTTGTATGTTGTCCTTCTTTTCCTTCTATTTTCCTTCACTTTCTACTTTTGTTGTTAGTACTTAATTTTATATGGGAAATATTTTTTATACATTTTAAGAGAGAAGAAAGAGATCAAAAGTCAAGAGAAAAATTGATGTAGTAGGTAATATAATTAAGAGAGATTAAATTAAGTATAAGATAAATATAAAAATTGCAAATGAAGTAAATTGAAGTTAACATTATATATATCGCTCTCTTTAAACAAAAAGAAGTAAAGGCATAAAGTGTGCCACTTTTTTCTTCTGTCAATAAAAAATGTAATGCTTTAGTCGTAAGAATTTAAAATTAAATCAAATATTGTTGGAATTGTTGAATCAAATAGGTATTACACACACCATCTTTCAAGATAAATAAATATAAAAGAGCAGAAGAAATAACTTACAAAGGACACATCATTACATAAAATTATGTGATAATAGATTTCCTTGAGAAGCCTATTTTGGCATAATAAATGGACATAAATATTTTCTTAAAATATATCAAATTTTGAAAATATTGAGTAAGGCGTTTACTTGACCTAACATAATCTCTTCTACGGTCTGATGGGAGCAAAAATGATGAAAATGAAGACTAAAGTGATGTATATAGAAGCATTATTTGACCTTGCTAAGGTTATGACAATACATGGAGTTGTTGAATCAAAGATTGATGGCAAGGAAAAATGACAAACTTGATGGCAGGGAAAAATTACAAACGTCTTAATTTATCCCAAAGAAAAAATTTTCATTTTCAAATTTTTAAAATTTTGAAATTTTCAAAATTAAAATTTTAGGAACGTCAAATAGAAATTTCAAATATCTTAAAAATTTGATCATGATTATATATATATATATATATATATATATATGAGGGGGTTATAATAATACTGGTGTA